AACGCATGAAACGGCCAACAACCATCCAGTGTTGATTTCCAAGTTTCTTTTATATCTAAAGACGTACTATTTCCGATAGTGTGCACTCTTTCCCAATAAATTTACCAAAGTCTAAGCACCATCCATTTGTCCATCCATCTATCCCCTGAACCCAATGTCCGTTGGTGTAATCGACGTTTTGGAAAATCGCTTTCCAATGGGATCATACATATTTGCTGAAATCATTTTAGATATAGTATCTATACCCCATGTCTATCCATTTTAAAACAGCTTCATGTGGCTGGGTTATAATATCAGTTTTGCTCTTCCTTGGTTGATTAACAACCACAGCTAGAGAATCCAATCTGCTCTGCTTTCTAACCCATACCTGGGGGAGCAGAGATGGATCCATATGTTTCCGAAAGCATATGTTAAAGTAAGCCAATAAATTGTGCATGGATTATAATGATAATATGTTAGAGTGGTCACTCCAGATCCTAATACAGCTGACAGAGTGAGAGAGAGTAACAGAGATAGAGAGATAGAGATAGTAACAGAAGTATAGAGTAAAAGAGATAGTAACAGAGATATAGAGAGAGGGATAGGGTGAGAGATATAGAGAGAGGGATAGGGTGAGAGATCTGAAGACACGATTCACGTCGAGTAAGCCTTGTAATCTCGTTCACTCACTTACGACTGAGTAGTGAGTTCGACCAACACTCGGTGCTGCTTAATCTTGACCTTGTGCCATACCTAAGCTGCGCGTAGTAAATCACTGATGTTATGATACACAAGTCAAAGTAATAGTGATAGTAGTAGGCCACACGGACCGTAAAAAAAAATTAAATATAAACAGCTTGAAGTTTGTTGCAAAAGAAGCGGAAAAACTTGGAATTATCCCCCACCCACCCCAAAAAAAAAAATCAACAAGGTAGCATTCTGTGGTGGGTGATATAGACAGAAGCTTAAAAAAATTCGGTAGGAATGGCGAACCACTCAAAGAACCTAAAAACGATATTTTTTATCCCCAAAATTCGATTTGAGGTTCAGCGAACAAGGATTTTACGTGTACTAAATCTGTTTTACAAGTTGGCTTATATAAGCGAAACTAAAAAAAAAAAAAATAGATACAAAGTAACTTTCTTGCCATTTCTTTAAATATCAGGCTTCCCTTGCAAGAATACTTTGAAGTGAAGATCTCTTTTTCTTTGTTGATCTTTGGGGTTTGAGCAACCGATGAATAATTACAACTGAACTTCTCCCAAATAATAACCTCGGAGCGACTAGCGGATTGAGATGGTGGAAAGAAATCATTTCCAGACCTAAGATAACCTATTGGATTGTCCAGGGTTTCCTATGATAACTAAGTTAATACTTGATTCTTAACAACACCGAACGTAATTATTAGTTGCTGGAAGGTAGAGAAAATAACGACGAGAAAGAGGAGATGAAATAAAAGTAAAATGGGAGAAAGAGAACGAAAACGAGGCTAAAAAAAAAAAAAAAAGTTGTCTGCTCCACATCTGTTGAAGCAGCTGTTCTGGCATTAAATTTGAAATGAAATTAGCTTTTAGTTGTTGTCGTTGTTGTTTCTTTGGTTCTATTTAGCAAAACATATTCGGAGGCTGGTAAGTCATTATTTTCCTTATCGGTTTCAGGAAGGCGGGAGGTATAAACACATTTTCTTATCGGTCCATAATCACAAATCCAGGCTTGTACAGAGACTGGTGCTAACAACTACGCATTTCATCTTGAATTTGAACATGCACGCATTCATTTATTCTCAAGCGTCTTTACCAAAAGACTTTGGCAAGCTTAACTTAGCCTGCCACAAGACCATAAGGTCGAAAGGGGGAAATGTAGATTAGGTTGGCTAAGTTAACGACATAACAATGCTTGATGGGTTATTTAATGTCGAATATAAGGCTTATATGAAAAGTCAAAATGAATTAATATAGACAAAGGTCCGGTATACACTACTAGAGCGAAAATGGTAGCCAAAAGTCCGTTATGCACTAACTGGAGTGAAAATGTTAGCCAAAGGTCCGTTAGACACTAACTGGAGTGAAAATGTTAGTCCGTTTAGACACTAACTGGAGTGAAAATGTTAGCCAAAGGTCCGTTATACACTAACTGGAGTGAAAATGTTAGCCAAAGGTCCGTTATACACTAACTGGAGTGAAAATGTTAGCCAAAGGTCCGTTAGACACTAACTGGAGTGAAAATGTTAGCCAAAGGTCCGTTAGACACTAACTGGAGTGAAAATGTTAGCCAAAGGTCCGTTAGACACTAACTGGAGTGAAAATGTTAGCCAAAGGTCCGTTATACACTAACTGGAGTGAAAATGTTAGCAAAAGGTCCGTTAGACACTCCTGGAGTAAAATGTTAGCCAAAGGTCCGTTAGACACTAACTGGAAAAATGTTAGCCAAAGGTCCGTTATACACTAACTGGAGTGAAAATGTTAGCCAAAGGTCCGTTATACACTAACTGGAGTGAAAATGTTAGCCAAAGGTCCGTTATACACTAACTGGAGTGAAAATGTTAGCCAAAGGTCCGTTATACACTAACTGGAGGAAAATGTTAGCCAAAGGTCCGTTATAAACAAAATGTTAGCTAACCGTTAGGGAGTGAAAATGTTAGCCAAAGGTCCGTTATACACTAACTGGAGTGAAAATGTTAGCCAAAGGTCCGTTATACACTAACTGGAGTGAAAATGTTAGCCAAAGGTCCGTTATACACTAACTGGAGTGAAAAATGTTAGCCAAAGGTCCGTTAAACTAACTGGTCCGTTCCGTTAGACACTAACTGGAGGAAAATGTTAGCCAAAGGTCCGTTAGACACTAACTGGAGTGAAAATGTTAGCCAAAGGTCCGTTAGACACTAACTGGAGTGAAAATGTTAGCCAAAGGTCCGTTAGACACTAACTGGAGTGAAAATGTTAGCCAAAGGTCCGTTAGACACTAACTGGAGTGAAAATGTTAGCCAAAGGTCCGTTATACACTAACTGGAGTGAAAATGTTAGCCAAAGGTCCGTTATACACTAACTGGAGTGAAAATGTTAGCCAAAGGTCCGTTATACACTAACTGGAGTGAAAATGTTAGCCAAAGGTCCGGAGAGATGAGAAAAGACATTCAAAAACAGCCTTGAAAAATTCTTTTTAATCAACAGTAAATCTTTATAATAAAATGAGCAACAATACATTTTTAGAGTAAAAATACCAACAATACATTTTATAATCTACAACAGTTTTCCCTGAAAGTATGAAATTATGTATAAAATATCTGGAGTTGAAAGCTTAAAATTATGTACAAAATATTTCGATTTCGGCATTAAATAACCCATAGAGGTGTTGAGATGTTGCTAAACAAAATCAACGCCCTAACCAACGAAACGTCGAAGTCCTATCGTCATTTTCAAGTTAAATGTTCTGACGAACTATTAGTGGCAAAGAGATGAATTTATACCTTTCCAAAGCCTATTTCTATGAAAGTGACCGTTATAAACTCGGTCGGAATTCGAACCAATTTCTCTTGCCGAGACGTTGATCTACTAACCGCAAATCCATAAGGCGTATCGGAATACAATTCGTTTTTTATTAATGCGTTTTGTCGTTTGATTTGGGAGTAGAATGCGTCTGAATATTTTGTATTGGTCTTTTAGTAAAATGACCAACAATACATTTTATCTGTAGTTGAAGGCATACAATTGCGTTCAAAATATTTTTTAATCGGTACTACCCCATGCAAGGCAATAAAGCCACTAAGACACTAGGGGTTACACGGTGTGGAAGAATTAAGAACAGAAACATTAATAATGGGCGGAAAAAGAAAAGAGTAATCAGGAGGACGGTACATAGCTGTTAACATTACATTTAAATTTTTGCAAATTAATTTTGGCCGGAAAGCATGGAGCTGGAAGGGAGTTCCACAAGCGAGAAGTACAAGAAAAGAAACTGTTAGCATAGAACTTACGGCTACATCTAGCCGACTCAACTGCAAATTGATGAGATTTCGATGCCAGTTAATTATTGCGCTTAAATTTTAAAAGTCCAGGGACCATAACGAAGAGCGATATTTATTCTGATATATACACAGAAATGTGGCACAAGGCCAAAGATGGGGATTGGGGAAAGGACGGTTTCCTCTGTCTTAACGATAACTTAGATAGTTAATTACTTTTCTTACTACATCCACCATAATACCTCATTGTCTCTATGAAAATACTAACTAGTCCCCATATGTACAATTCATTGTCTGTGAGGGTAGGGGAATAAAATAACAATTCTACAAACTAGCCCCAATGATAGCGATAGGATCATAGCGAAGAGTTCATCCGAACAATTGTCGTGAAAGTATTTATAGAAAAGACACAGGGAGGATACCTGATGGTTATGCACAAGTGAAAAGGCGGTGGAGAACTTGGAGATAGAAATTAACAGGAGATAACTGATAACTAACGCCCATTAGACATGGCACGTGGAACTAGAACAGTCTACACCAGCGAGCGAAATAAAGGGTTCAGTTCGACATTCTAACCACCTGGAGAAGGCCGGAGCGTACAACGGCCGAAATGTTGTGATAGATATGGCAACAAAGATGTAAATAGTGTACGTAACACCTCATCTCAGAAATATAGACAGATACTGAAGTCATAGCGAGTCTGAGATAATAAAAAGAAAAGGAATGGAAATGTTATTTTAAAAAATAGGAACCCAAAAAGAAAAGGAAAAATGGAAAGCTATGATCGCCTACGTCCTGAAGGGAAATGGTATTTAAAAAACATCAACTAAATTTCTTCTCTTTCGGGCAATTGTATTCCCGATAATCATCGAATTCGTACATTGGACACATAACTATTACCCTAGGTAGTTAGTTTACCATGTTTCTAGTCAAGGCGCTCTATTGAATTTATCATTTATTCTTTTGTACTAAATACAAGTGCCGACATGATTAATTTATTTCATTCAACTACTACCCCCCATCGGCAGGGTGAATATCTAGTATTTCTACAGCCCTATTACGTTGAAACACCGGTTCCCGTACGATCATCGAAATTAAGCAACGTCGAGTCTGGTTAATACTTAGATGGTTGACCGCTTGTGAATACCAGGTGCTGTAATCATGGATGTGCAGGTAGTCTAATTGATAACTTCTCAGAATTGGAAATCGGAAAGCCGTGTTCCACTTCCTTTTGGGTTCGTTATATTCATTTACGCTTAAATACCCTTTGGGAAAGTATGAATTCACTTCTTCTCTACACCCCCACCTGTAGGTTATATAGTAAGACTTGTAGCAGTATATAATTATTAGTAAGACTTGTAGTAGTATATAATTATTATCTCTAAAATAAATTACAGGCTAAAAATATTTTCTGGCTTTAAAATGGCAAAAGGTTGCTAAGTCGGAAAAAAAATATAAATCAGTCAATCCATCTCCGCGGTACAATTATTTTGATTCAGGAGTTAAAAATTGCCAGCTTGTTTTATGGGATGAAAAATTCCCACCGGCATGACAATTCCAAACGGTACTTGTATTTGGTACAAATGAGTGGAAGGACAGACTAACAGACAGAGATGAAGGTTATAACAGATCATTCGCACAGATTATCAATCGAAATCAGACAGCTGGGAAAATATTAAATTCTAAGATCAAAAACGTTTTGGGTTAGGACCTTAACGTCAGTCTTTCGTATGGCTATATTTATAAATACAGGGTGGTACGAAAGTTACCTCGGTATTTAAAAATGTCATTTATTTGTATATTTATTTATTTATTTCCCAACTTAACACAGGGAAATTCTTCTTTTTCTATGTGTCGTGTACCGTCATGGCGTTGGCGATCATGGTTCTCCTGTCCTTTGTCGCTCTTAATAAATTTTGTATTTTGTTTATATCTCCTATACCCTGCTCTGTTAACCATTTACACAAGTTAGGTCAGCTAATGCACTATCCTTATTGCATTTAATATGTCCTGTGAGTGTTAAATTCTCCAAGCTTCTATTAAAACAATTTTTCAGGACATTACCTTTCTCTCATCTAGTAATTATTACTTTTTCCAATACTGATGGTGGTTTCCTTCCTAACCTTTTGTTTAAAGTCGTGTGGAATGTCAACATCTTGATTATGTCATTATTTTCTCTTCGAGTTAGATGTGATATCCATTTTAGTTGTTGCTGCTGTTGGTAGTCCTCATTTGATATGGTTTCTGTTGTTCACAAGGGTCGAATTTTGACTTGATTCTGGATAACTGAATTCGCGTCCAGTCTTCTTTTTTTTTAATTTCACTTCAAACAAGGCGATAATGCCACTAAAGTGCAAAGAAGTTACTGGAAGGGAAAGAGAATGAAAAGACTTCAGTTAGGAGAAAGGACAATAAAATTACTGAGTTTAGGAAGACAGAAGAAAGGTGAATGGTGTCGCATTTAAATTTTTGAACAGCGAAAGCAAGAATTTTTTTTTTAAATTATTAGAATAGAATTTCTGGTTATTTTAATGATGAGACCTAACAGCCAATCTAGTAGTATGTTTAAATTCTGGCGGCGGTGATATCAAGGAGGAGAGCAACTGCCATGAAAATATTTGTAGAAAAGGTAAGAAAGTGACTGAAGTCGAGATACCAGGTTGGAATCGATAAAATTACAGACCCTTCTTAGTCGAGAATCTCATACATAGTCGGAGAACAAGACCAGACATGGCAGCAATGTTCAAAGCACGAACAAATGGTAGATCTATAAATATTCAAGATGTATTCTAACGAGAAAATGATCTACCACGGCACAGCAAATCAATGTTCCCTGCAGTAGACCTAGCAATTGATTCAATATAATCGTTCGTCTTCATGTTAGTAGAAAATGTATTTAATTTTTTTGTGTGAGTATATTTAGAATAGCTACATGCATATATGTCCTTATAAGCATAATCTTCAACATTTATAAGTCTACCATTCGTCCATGCAGTGAACATTGCTGTCACGTCTAACCTGGTGCTCAGAGATTCTTGATAAAATACAAAGAATCATCTCCAAAGAGCCTCTAGATGAAGTATAAAAGGAAGGAATACAAAATATTCACCTGCAGGGATATGTGTCTCGCTTCTCTTCCAGAAGACCTCTCAATCCCCAGTGAACCGCGTCTCGCACTGCACACAACACAATATATATATATATATCAACACACACACACACACACACATATATATATATATATATATATATATATATATATATATATATAGCACACACATATATATATATATATATATATATATATATATATAGCAACAACCCAGGAAGGCCGGTTATTTCATCGTTCAACTGCCACACGACAAAAATTTCCAAATACATAGACCATTACATACAACCGCTAGCTAAGGAAGTAAAATCCTACATCAGAGACACAACAGATCTACTAAACAAAATTAATCACATACAAACAGTTCCAGAGAATGCTATTCTAGTGACTATGAACGTTAGGTCACTCTATTTAAACATTAAAAACATCGAAGGGCTGGCCGCACTTCAGGAAGCACTTACTAAAAGAAGAAAACAGGACCCTCCCCCACAGAAGTCATCGTAAAATTCATGGAGCATGTTCTTACATTGAATACTTTCAACTTCAATGGAGCACACTACCTTCAAATAAGAGGTTGTGCCATGGGCACCATTGCAGCTCCATCATATGCTACAATATTCATGGGAAAATTTGAGGAGACCCATATCTATCCAATCATTGGTAGCGACTGCGTATTCTATGCAAGATATATCGATGATATATTCTTTGTATACACGGGTAGTGATGACAAACTTACCCAATTCCTTATGACCCTAAACACAGTGCACGACTCAATTAAGTTTGACTATGAAAAATCCACAACATCAGTAACATTTTTAGACACCCGCATTTACATAGATGAAAACAGGAAACTACAAACGACACTACACACTAAAATAACCGACACCCCACAACTATCTACACTTTAAGTCTTCCCACCCTAAACACCTCAAAGAGAACCTTCCCTATTCACAAGCACTTAGACTCAGAAGGATATGTTCCAACAATGAAGAATTAAATAAACACATTGAAAATCTGGAGCATCAATTCACAACACGTGGCTATAAACAACACCTAATCAGAGAACAAATAAATAAAGCAATTTCCACACCTAGAGAAGACACCCTAACGTACAAGATTAAAAATAAATCTAGCCGCATCCCTCTAGTAACCACTTTCAATCTCACTCTGCCTCCACTATCCCAAATAATCAAACGTCGCATGGAAATATTACATTTCAAACCAGACCTAAAAAAACTGCTTAAGGAACCCGGCCTTCTTGCATATCGTAGACCTAAGAACCTAAAAGAAATCATAGGTAGTAACCACATTTCAGGGGACAAGGTAATCCGTAATGAACTAAGAACAAAAACAACAGGATTTTCCCAACCATGTAACAACAAAAGAAGTTTATGTTGCAACCATATTAAAAAACACGAATTCATTCACTAGCTCAATCACTAAATCTACTTTCAAAATCTACCACGATTCTAACTGTAGAAGTCATAACATAATTTACCTCCTAGAATGCACACTATGCCAGAAACAATATGTAGGAAAATCTGAATGGCCCTTTCACTACAGAATTAATAATTATCGTAAGCGAATTAAGTCGACTCCCCATGAAAAATTATTACCTGTAGAACAACATTTCCGCCTGGAAAAACATGATTTCAAAACCCATGCCAAATTCACTATAATTGAGAGAATAGAAAAGTTCAGAGCAGATAACATTAGAAAGATTTTAGAGTCCCATGAAAATAAGTGGATACAACGTCTAAAAACAAAATACCCAGCCGGGCTAAATCATAGATTTAACAATATATAGATAGTAACAATATATCAACAAATCAAAACGTACCCACATTTCTCACCCACACAAGACAGACATGCTTACGGAGGTGTGGAGGCCTCACACTTATACACTCATCCACACAAATATACACACTTACACACATCATACTCACTCACTCCCTAATGAGCCAAATTATAACACACACCTACAGCAATACACACGCTTACACATATCATACTCACTCACTCCCTAAGAACCAAATAACACACACACCAACACTAAACAGAGACACATCCCCTCTCCAGGACCAATAAAACTGTCAAAATGACCACGGGAATTCAGAGAAGGATAGATCCATCCAGCTCTTATCTCAAATAACAACTTAAAAGAGACCAACACAAGGAATGTTAAAAGATTCATGTTAAAAAGATAAAAAAATAAAATAAAAAAAAAACAAATGAAAACTACAGACAAAAGTTCATTTTCTCCAGCAAAAGACATTCATTAACTGTAGTTTAGTGCTACCAGCAAGCAGAAATATTTCTCCTCCCGATGATGGCCATTTCGGTCGAAACTAGTCGAGGAATCTAATTGGAATAATAATAAAAAAACGAAAGAATATTAATCTACAACCCATTGTGTCTAAAGATTTTAATTTTTTTATTTTCTTTTTGTTCAAAAAATTAATTTATTAATTTATTTAATTATTTTTTTTATTTTTTTATTGTTCAATATATATATATATATATATATATATATATATATATATATATACAACAAACTGGAAAACAGCTACATGTTATTTATAATCGACAGAGACAAATAGAAAATCCTTGGTCCGTCACCCATGGTCTAATTCAGACTTTGTCAAATTGTGTGTATGTGCGTGCGTATGCAGAGTTTGAAATAAAAAACACTAGAATAATACATTCCCCTCCCATTCAGTATGTACAACCTCTACACTAGGCTGAGCAATAAAATCATAAAGTTTGAGGTAAGAAAAAAAATTTAACTCTAAGAATATCAAATAATTATAAGTCAACCATTCGTCCATGCATTGAATATTACTGTCACGTCTAACCTAGTGCGATGTTTTTAGAGATTCTTGATAAAATACGAAGAAGAATCCCCAGCCCTATCAGTCCTGACCTGCCATTTGAACTTCAGTCACTTTCTCATCGCCGTAACGTAGCTTTCCTGTGTCTTATCTATAAATATCTTTATGGTAATTGTTCTGAGGAGATTTCCTCTTAGGTACCTAGACTTTATGAATTTAAGTGCAGTACTAGATTGTCAGTTAGGTCTCACCATTTTAAAGTTGAAATTGGTAGATGTTACTCTACGTTCTATAACAGTTTATTCGCCCGCACTTCTCGCTTGTTAGAACTCTTTTCCGGTTTTTTGCTTTCCAGTCAACTTTGACCTTCAAAACTTTAAAAGGGATGTCACTCGTTATCTTCTGTCTTCTTAATTCCTGTTTTTTTTTGTTTTTGTTTTTTTTTTTGTTTTTTTTTGTTTTTTTTTTGTTTTTTGCTTTTTTTTTGTTTTTTGTTTTTGTTTTTTTTGTTTTTGTTTTTTTACTAGTGTTCTTTCTTTTTCTCCTATTCTTTCACATTCAGTAACCCTTTGGGTCTTACTGGTTTTATTGCCTTGCTTCGGGTGAAATGATTTAAAAAGACGTTTATGGAACTCGAATTTATTGATTTGATAAATCCGAATATTCGTCAAATATATCTTACTAGAAAATTGAGGAGAATTTCGTGTGGGATTACCCAACTTTGTCTGCAAGGCGACTCCTCCTAAAAGCCCCTAGGTGGCGTTTTATAAAGAAGTATAAAAGTAAAGAACACAAAATATTCACCTGCAGAATGTCGCAGGGATAAGATGTGCCTCGCTTCTCTTCCGGGAGACCTCTCAATCCCCAGCGAACCGCGTGTCACACTGCACACAACACAAAAAATATACCTCTCCAATAATTGTATCTACAACAAACTAGAAAACAGCTACACGCTATTTATAATCGACAGAGACAAATAGAAAAGCTTTGTTGATCCTTGATCTGCCACCCACGGTCTGATTCTAACTTTGCATACACACAATTTGACAGAATTTGAAATAAAACACCGGAATTATATTCCGCCCTCTCATTTAATCTAGACAAATTCTACGCTGAGCTGAGCAATAAAATCACAGAGTTTGAGGTAAGAAAAACTATTTCTAACTTTAAAAATATCAGATAATTACAAGATATAACTATTTTTAAAGCATTTTATAATTTGTAGAAATATTTATAACTTGAATTAATATATACACAGAGCCAGGCAACAGGACATACGCTATAAATGAAGTTGAAATAGACATATGGGCCACGAGGACTAATTTCCATTTCTATCCGGCAGCAACCACAGGGTAACAGGAAAAGAATATAAGCCGGCTCTGTAAAGTAATTTTATGTATTTTTTATGCATTTAAATTACTACATTTATTTTTTTTTAAATATTATTTTAGATGGACAAGCAATTTAGATCTGAAATTTGATCTTCATACCGTCAACTAAGCAAAAGTTATCGAACTAGTTATCGTATATACGCATTACTAAATAATAAACCACTTGAACCATTGGGGTTTACGGCTATATCACGTTGAAACACTGTTCCACGTACGATCGCCAAAGTTAAGCAACGTCGAGCCTAGATGGGTGACTCCTTGGGAATACCAGTGTCTTTTTTTCAGCTTAGGGAGTGTTTTAAGACTTAACATCGTAGTGAAAACTGGGGAACACTTTCATGGATATCATTTACGTACCGTGTTCCCTCTGGATGAGAGCCATAATGGCTCTCCACAACTTCCTGTCCCTGTAGCACTAAGCAACATTTGTCTCTCTACCATCCCACCTTGTCCCTGCTCCATTCGCACAAATTCATTAACTTCTTTGCTGGGCTTACGGCCGCATCAAGATGAAACATTGGTTCCCGTACGATCACTTAAAGTTAAGCAACGTCGAGCCTGCTCTGTACCTAGATGGGTGACTGCTTAGGAATACCAGGTGCTGTAAGTGCTGTAAGTTTAGATATGCTGGTGGTGTAATGAATAATGGCTTGGAATTCTTAATCGGAGAGCCGAGCTCCAATTCAGATTAGGTTCATTATATTATCTTACGCGCAAATAGTCTTGAGAATGGTATGAATCCACCTCTTCCGACTCAGCTATAGGTTAATTAGTAAGACTTTTATCACTAAATTATTATAATGTCAAAGAATCATTCTTATAATCTAAAGATATTTCTGACTTTAAATAACCTTACAAATGGGTTAATAAACCCTAGAAAACAAATCAATCAATCAGTAACTAGCAACTACGCTATTTTCCATCGTGTGTTGCCTTTTACGTGACATCCAGTTAATCGCCTGTTAATTTCCCTCTCCAAGTTCTCCACTGCCTTAACCGGGTATTGAACTCACATTCTTTGAGTCCTGTCATTGGATCTAACCAAAGCCTTTATCCACTGTGCCACGTGTAGCTTGTCTTGCTAGAACAATTACGACTGAGTAGTGAGTCCGATCTTCACTGGGTGCCCCATACTTTCGGCCTATTGCCACATCTAAGCTACGCTTAGAAAATCATTTTTGGGCACTTCGAGGTGATGTAATGGTTAGCAAGCTTGTCTCGATAGAACAATTACGATAGCGTGTTCGATCGTCATTGGGTGCCTACTAGTTTCGGCCTTATGCCACATCTAAGCTACGCTTGGAAAATCACTATTGGGCACCTCAGCGTGGTGTAATTGTTAGCAAGCTTGCCTCGCTAAAACAGTTACGACTGAATAGTGAGTTCGATTCTCATTGGGTGCCCCATACTTTCGGCCTTGTGCCACATCTAATCTACGCTTAGAAAACCACTATTAGCAAGCTTGTCTCACTAGATCAATAACGACTGAGTAGATAAATCGATCCTCGTAAGGTGTTTCATGTTATCGGCCTTGTACCACATCTAAGCTACGGTTAGAAAATCATTTCGGGCACTTCGACTTGGAATAATGGTTAACAAGCTTGTTTTACTAAATTAATTACGACTGAGTAGTGAGTTCCATTCTCACTGGGTACTCCATACTTTCGGCTTTGTGCCATATCTAAGCTACGCTTACATTTTGGGAACTTAGAAATCAATCTGGGTACTCCATATTTTCAGTTTTGTGCTACATCTAAACTTACTTAGAAAATTATTTTGGGTACTTCGACGTGGTTAGCAAGCTTGTCTTGCTAGATCAAGTACAACTGAGTCGTGAGTGCTATCCTCACCGGATGCTCCAAACATTCAGCTTTGTGCGACATCTAAGCTACGCTTAGAAAATCAACATTAGTGCACAGCGTCTAGTTTTTTAGGGAGTGGTTACCTAAAATTTTAAATCCACTACCCTTAAGGTTACCATTAATCTTGCCAGCAAGATGGATTAAGCAAAAACAGCAAAATTATTAAAGAAATTATTGAAGATATGACGAAATCCGTCGAGTCTCTTTCTGATTGTAAATATGATTATATTTCTAGTTTAATGTTATTGTTATGTAAAGACTAGATTAAATTTCTCATACGTAAAATTACATTTTATTCAACTTAAGTGTACCGTCGGCCATTGGGTGTGTTAGACTAAGAAACGTCTCTCCCGGACGAAGACCCTACATTCACGCGTGGAAATATGAGTTTCTCTTCCTTTTTCGGGTCGGTGTTTGTATAGCTACCTTTCATTCGTTTTTTTTTCTCTCCACGCGAACACATGATGAGCCGACTACGTGCTTACATGTCAATGGCAGGCATTGATATTGCGTGAAGTACAGATCTGCACCCCCAACTTGGAGGTCATCTCTCAGGTCAATCCGCTGATGCACCTAACTTCTTTAAAGGACACTAAAGGACAAAGCGGATTTGGGCAACAACTGGGACGAATCGCATACACTAGTTCCTATTTTCTTCAGAAATTCTTCCATATCCACTTGTTTTGTCCATGGCATTCTCAGCAAAACCCCTTTAGGAAACGTAACCCTTCAGTACGAAGCTGAGCATGACCCTCAACAGCTTCCTGTCTTTCATGTCTCTAAGTAATATTTGTTTTCTATATAATAAATGCTAAATCACTGTCACACTTTTTTCAATTAAAGGGACACAAGTCTCTAACTTTTAAATATCTCATCTTCTTCTATATAATAAATGCGAATGTCAGTGTGCCACACTTTTTCATCTTTACTTCTAGAGGCATGGTGGAGTAATGGATAGCGACTCGAATTGAGGAATCGGAGAGCCGAGTTCGAATTCCAGTCAAATCCATTACTTACGTGCTAATACCTTTGGGAATGATACGAATCCTCTTCTACTCCCACCAGCTATGGGTAAATAGTAGAACAGATCGGGTTCTTTAGGAGGTGGTCTACCGCAGAAAGAAATGGCACCTACTACGGGAAAAATCAATATGATCGTCTAAGCGTGTATCATGCATGGCACGTAACTGTCTGGCCTAGAGGGCGTAGCCCAATATATCATACCATTTTGGAATCAGGACAACTCAGTAAATTAAAAACATTCCGTCCTGGGTCCGACCCCGCAATCATGAAATCTTGGATTCCCAAGTTTTTATTACTGCGATTGTTTGGGGAGATTTTTTGCGTGATTCTTTTGTACGATAACAATTTTTATAACTTAGCAATAAATTTATGAATAGTCGAAATTAATTACGAAATCTGGCGAAAGTCACCCATGAAATAAAAATAATTGCTTGTATAGAAAGTAAGGACCTACGTACATCAAATTGTCTTTAAATTAAGTGGCGGCAGACGAAGTATCGTAGAACTTTTAAAAGGTAAGCTGAAATACTAATGCAATACTTAAATGCAGCGATCAATTTTGAGTTCTTCTGTAGTTTATTGTTGCCTATTGCATGTACTGCTCCCTACCTATTGTGATAAAGGCCCAATCAAGAATCAGCTTTAGAATGCTCTCTTTACATCTGTGAGGAAATTGTCCAGTATTCACTGGCATAAAGGAGGATTGATATTACATAAAAGTTAAATATTCTTTTCTTTGTTTCTAATAAAATTTTTCTTGTTTCTTTATATTTTGTTTAGTTTTTGGAAGAACCCTTTCAATTTTCCAACGTGCGTTCGGATCTGTGTGTCACACTTTTCGATATAAATCCCAGTTCTCTGTAGCTAACAAATCATCCTAGACATATTTGATCTTTGAAGCATGTGCGCTATGCAAGACATTACATGCATAATAGTTAATGTCTCTTTCATGTCATTTGTAATTTTTTATATTAGCCCGATAAATTATATTCACAGGGCGAGTTTCATTAGTAATTATAGGTTAAATACATACCTTAGGAATTCTAAGTACAGTTTAACTAGCCAGGAATAATTAGGTCAGAATTAATTGTTGTTTTGCGATCACTTAAAAGACAATCCTTGTGAAACGGTTTGTTTCTATCTTTGTAATTTATTTATTTTCAATTTAAAGCTAACATTTTTGGCGGCCTATAAAGAAACCTCCATTCCTTTACATTAATTATTTGGTGCTGAAAAAATTGTCGATCCGCCCCACTTCCGAAAATATGACCAAAAATCTCTCCAAACTTTACAATAAATGCTTGGCAGCTTCTTGCGTTCCAGCTTGTTGGAAGTCCTTCTCTGTAGTTCCTGTCTTTAAGAACTATGGGGAACCTTCAGACCTCTCGAATTATCGCCCTAATAGTCTCTTACCTGTTCCTGACAAAGTATCAGCGGTTCTAATCAATGCCGAATTGGTTATCTCACTGCAAACAAAAAACAATGTCTTCCTTTTCGCCTGGCCTACCGCTGATGTCATAGCGGTTATCACTGAATTTGTCTATCAAGCTTTAGATAAGAACGACAAAGTTCAAGCTGTAACTCTAGATAAGGCGTGCAATAGGATTTGGCATAATGGCCTTATCCACAAGCTAAAGTGCTCTGGTTGCTCTGCCCAAATATTTAGCTTAATCCAATCGTTTATAACAAATCGTGTGGTGAAGGTTATGTTGAAGGGACACGCTTCTAGTTCCATTCACATTAATGTAGGGTCCCTTAGTACTCAATCCTTGAACATACGCTGTTTCTTATCTTTAACTATCTTCATCATCAGTTCACAAGTAGGTATTTGGTGACACAACTATTTACGCCTATCCGAGCAGAATGTCCGACAGGTTTGATTGTAAAACTGTCAACTGCTCTCGTGGTTAATTGGGGCAAGGAATGGCTTGTAAATTTTAACAACTCCAAAACAAAACTTCTTTCATTTAACCACCGTAGAGAAACTTTTCTGTCTGCCTTCAGCATGGCTGATGCTGACCTTCAGGAGAGCAATTCTTTACCTCTTCTTGGGTTCACGTTTTCCACAGACATGAAGTGGAGTGATTATATTGAATCAATTCCTTGGTCTACTGCTAAGAAAGTCGATCCGCTGTGTCGTGCCAGACAATTTTTCTCGTCGGAATCCATCTTGTATATTAATAAATCTACCATTCATCTGTGCATTGAATATTGCCACTATATATAACTAGTCTGATGCTCCTGTTATATATTCACGAACCTTCACAAAATTCACAGAAGGGTGTGTAATGTTATCGGTCCTAACCAGGCATTTCGGCTCTAGTCACATTCTCACCGCCGATACGTGGCTTCTCTTTGTCTTTTCTAGAAATATTTTTATGGAAAAGGTTCTGATGAGCTTTCCTCCTTGCTGCTAGAATTTAAGCTACTAGATTGGCAATTAGGTCTCATCGTTTTACTGTTGAACTAGCTAGAAGCAACCATATGTTCTACTATAATAGTCTTATCTCGCACTTCTCGCCTGTAGAACCCCTGCCAAGTTCTTGGTTCCTTGCTACATACAGTCTTCAAACATTTATATTCAGCGCCAATCGCCATCTGTCTTCCTCAGTCCTGTTCTTTTGTTGTCCTCTCACCTCAATAAATTATATCACACTCAGTACCCCTTGCGTCCTTGTGACATTATCGTTTTTCTTAATGTTCAGTACCCCCTCATAATATT